GTGGCAGGGAACTGTTCCGGCCTCGACCTGCGCCAGTCTCCCTTCTGCTACCAGCTTCTCCTTCTCCGCTCGAAGTCTGGCCAGCTCCAGCTCGGAGATGTGGACTTCCATAGTCGCCACCACGGCGATGAGGTCATGACCGTATGATGACACTTTGTTCACCTCCGCCTTGTTCAGCTTGGAGCAGGGCCCTGTTATGATGGTCATAATCCCCCTCACGGTCTCCCGCACCTGGTCAATGACCTCCAGCTTCGAGGCGGTGGTAGCCTTGAAGCTCCCCCCTCGCACCCCGAGTTGTCTCCCTGGAGCAGTCTTCTTCTTCGGTTTCTGGAGCAGACTCCTCAACGTTTCTTGTCAATAAACCTGCCACCGGTGCCACACTCCGGCGCGACTCAGTGCGCTTGCCTACCCTAGGCTGCTGGGAAGATGCCTGCGCTTCTTCCGGAGACGCCAGTGGCCGCTTCTCCGGCACTACTGGCGGTGGGGGGGGGGGGAACCGCGACCGGCCGGCCGAGTGGTCCCGGCGGGGTCCTGGCCAATGACTTCCTGGGCGTAAAACCCTCGTCGTCGTCCGCCATTTTAATTTGGCACTAGTCCACTAAATGTAGTTAAATAGGAACGCAACTTAGCGAAAATAATGACAGGTCACCCTGTCAATGTCACTGTCAATGAGATGTCACCCACAATGACAACTGCCAACGTCACAATGACAGCTGTCAGTGTCAAAACAACACCCACGTGCCGGCAAAACCTAACCTCGATTGCAAATCAGTTTCTTATAATTAAACTTACACGAAATATTATAAAAGTACTTACAGTTTAAAGTCCAAATAAAAACAGAATAATACACTCAATAATGAAATAAGAATACTTAACCTAAAGTTACCACGCGGTAACCGCGTGGTCTAACCTAACCTAAAACTTGTTTACAGGTAATGAAAATTGTTAAAAAGTGTTTAAAAGAGTACGCGCACTGCACAGTTTATTTAACACTACAAATAAAGTTTAAATAACAACAAAAACACTATTATAGCGAAATATTACTATAAAACAACAAAAAACAATTAAAAATAACTACACGTGGTCACGCAAGAGCGCTTCGATACGTCCGCTCAGTACGAGTACCGACGACGTAGTCTGTACTGGTGGACCGCCGAGATCGCGCAATTGCACATAGCGTGCGTTGCGGCCCGTCGCCGGTACACCCGAGGAGGACGCGCTGTATGAGGTGTACCGCGCGTCTAAGGAGACTCTGTGGCTGGCCATCGCCGACTCGAAGTCGCGTGCCAGGGAGGAGCTGCTGGGGCCCTAGATGGGGATCCGTGGGGGCGCCCCTACCGGTGGGTACGGGGCAAGTTGCGTTCCTGGGCGCCTCCACTAACGCAAACAATGCAACCCCAGTTGCTAGAGACGGTGGTATCAGTTCTCTTCCCTGAACGAGTGGGACACGTTCCCCCCGGCGATGGCTTCGCCCTCAGCCACAGACTCTCCAGAGGAGGAGAGCACCGATGACCCCAAGGTGACGCAAGCAGAGATGAGAGCGGCCATGGCGCGACTTCGGGCCAAGAACACAGCGCCCGGACCCGACGGAGTTCCTGGTCGAGCTCTCGTCCTGGCTCTGAAGGAGCTGGAGCCCCAGCTGAGGGGGCTCTTCACGGCATGTCTCGAGCAGGGTCAGTTTCCCAGTGTGTGGAAGGAGGGAAGGCTGGTCCTACTCAGGAAGGAGGGGCGCCCCACGGACTCACCGTCCGCGTACCGGCCCATAGTGCTGCTCGACGAGGCGGGCAAACTTCTCTCATCGCAGATCGCCTCGTCAGCCACTTGTGCAGAGTGGGGCCAGACCTGGACGAGAACCAGTTTGGTTTTCGTCGCGGGCGCTCCACCATAGACGCTATTACGCGCGTGAGGGCCCTGGCGGAGGAGACAGTATCCCGGGGTGGGGTGGTGCTGGCGGTGTCATTAGACATCTCCAACGCCTTCAACACCCTACCCTGGAGTTGTATTCGGGAGGCGCTTAATTACCATCGCGTGGCTCCTTACCGCACAATAGGGGCTTACCTTGAGGAGAGATGCGTCACGTATTGGGGACGTGACAGCGCTGGTCGGCGCGTCATGTCGTGCGGTGTTCCGCAGGGATCGGTCTTGGGACCGCTCCTGTGGTACATCGGCTACGACTGGGTGCTGAGAGGTGAATTCCCGTCGGGCGCCGACTTGACCTGTTATGCAGACGACACGCTCGTCACTGCCCGGGGGAGCTTGCACAGGGAAGCAGCGTTGGTTGCCACGGCTGCAGTTTCACAAGTGGTGAACCGCATCCGGGTGCCTGGGCCTGGAGGTGGCCATTAACAAGCCGGAGGCCATGTTGTTTCATGGCCTTCGACGCGCGCCGCCGCCGGGATCGCACATCGTGGTCAGCGGGGCCCGGATAGCTGTCGAGTCCACCATGAAGTACCTGGGATTGGTGCCGATCGACAGCCGATGGGAATTTGGGCCCCACTTCCGGCGGCTGGCGCCCAAGCTGATGCGTGCAGCTGGCGCACTTTCAACGCTGCTTCCCAACTTGGGGGCCCGAGCGCCGCCTGTAGGCGGTTGTACGTGGGAATCGTGCGGTCCATGGCCCTGTATGGGGCCCCTGTATGGGCGATGGACATGACGGCCAGCACTCTCGCCATTCCGCGCAAACCGCAAAGGGCGATGGCCGTCAGAGTCATCCGCGGGTATCGCACGATTTCCTACGAGGCGGCTTGCGTCCTGGCCCCCCTATTCGATGGACCCGAGGCGGAGGCACGCGTGGGTGTCGGCGCGCGCCTCTGAGGTGATACACGGGGTAGTTGAACACCTCACTACCCCGTGCAGGAGACGAGGCCCGTACAGACCGGGCCAGCACTAGTGTGGGGCTGCGGAAGAATTTGGATTCCCGCGGCCCCTCGCGTGCACGTGCGAGGAGGCACCGGGGTGGTTTTAGCCGGTAAGAGTCCGGCACACCCCTCCGCCTTTCCCCAGGCAGAGGCAGTCCATGAGGATTTCCCCCCGTAAAAAAAAAGGTTAGGTTAGGTTAGGTTTTTTTTTCTATGTTAACTACTGCTATTCTGCAGTACCCTTCTTACTTTATGTTATACTAAGTATCATTGTGTTACTGAGTTTTTATTTTTTTTTTGTCACATGTGTACCGCTTATTTTCCTTTTTCAATAGTTTATATTTTGCCAATTTTCTTAAGGAAACATAATTACACTTAGCAATATTTACATACTTTATGACACTATATTATAAGCTTTCTTTAACAATGCATAAATTATACAGTTAACGCATTTAACTTCCATTGTCATGGTTAAGTGTTTACAATACTTTGGATGATGACCTTACGTACTAGTGTTTCTATATAATGGTGGATTTATTAAAAAAAAAAATCCTGTTTTTTTTCCTTTTTTTATTTATCTTTTCATTTCTCCTGTTTTAACTTTTTTTCTTTTTTTCCTTCGATGCGTTTACATCAATTATGTCTTACAATCAGTTATGTTTTGAAATTGTATACAGTTTAAACTTAAATAGTTTACATCTTAATTTGGTTATTTACATCTAAATTACAGTCTTATTTAATACTAAGTCATGTTCCATATATTTTTTTTCTTACGAGTGTTACTGTACTAGTTTGTATTTTTTTTTCAATATATATTAACTTGTTTATTTCTGGCTTTATACACTATAAGTTTGTCTAAGTACTCTACGCCTAGTCAATTACAGTACTTCCATTTTCCTTATTTATAATTTTTAAAACTAAGAGGGCGTAATTTAAAAAGTTTGATCTGCAATCGTTGTCTTCCATAATTGTACAGAGATTTTTTCTTGTTATAGTCATTCCCATACTACACTCACACTCGTATCTTTTCATGCAAAAACGCGGACAGTCTATAATTATATGTTCTATGGTTTGTTAAGCAGTGCCGTCGCATGTGCAGTATGGGGATGACGACAGCTTGAATCTAAAAAAGGTAGGCTTTGTTACCGCCATGTCCGGTAAATAATTGAGTAATAATATTAGTTATTTTAATATTCTTTAATATTTTATATGCTACTGTAATTATCGGGAAAAAGGTTTTCGTTGTTTCGCTAGTCGCCGCCTCTTCGTATTTGCGCTGCCATTTAAGCAAGGTTTTGTCTCTAGTGAGGTGCTTAGCGTACGACAAAAGGAACAAATCATGTGTGGCTCTCTGCTTCTTCTTAGTGGCGGCATATTTGGCAAGTTCATCTGCTCTTTCGTTGCCCTTGAGTCCGCAATGGGCTTTTATCCAGTAAAACTCGATTTTCCCTTCATGGCTTTCTATAGCACTTAAATTTGATGATATTTCTGCGGCGATTGGATTTAATGATGACGGATTGCAGATGGTCATGATTGCTGATCTCGAATCACTGAGTATATTTGCATTGTAGCACTTCTTGTCAAGCATATATTTGACAGCTTTAAGAATAGCCACTAACTCTGCTTGAAATACGCTGCAGTATCTCTCTAGTGTGAAAGTGATTTGCCTTATTTCGGTCCCATTATGCCAAACTGAGATGGCAGCACCAACTTTGTTGTCTATTTTGCTGCCATCTGTGTAGATACTAGGCCAGTTGCTGTTGATTTTATCAATGTCCTCTTGACTAGATATTAATTTGTATAGTCTGCTGTCTTAGTGAGGGGTGTGGTAGGTCGTAATTACATATTCTTGTCTCTAAGTGCCTCCCTGGAAGTGAATCAATCGCTTTTCCTCGTTTATCTCGTATATTTCTGCGTTTTCTTTTACTCGTAAGGCTAGTGGGATAATCTTGGCTAAGAGCGCGCCAGAGACCAATGAGATAGTTTTATGGCCTTTGCAGATACGAATACTAAACATCCGTGTAAGTCTGTTAAGCATTCGTTGCACATATTTTCTCTCTGTCGCATCTGCCCAGCAGCTGGCGGCGTACAAGACAGTTGGTTCAACCACTGCCAGATAGATCGTTCTCACAATATCAGAGTTTAATCCCCATTGTGCCCGTGCGGCCCGAGACACTGTCTTGTAAAGGGTGACTGCTTTCTTGCAGAATGGTCATTTGTTACTCCTATAAGGCGCAACTGTGGATGCTTAACGGATGGTGTTGATATCGTTATTTTACTGCATGTGTCTCTAATTGCTGTTTTTAATATTTGTTGGTCCCGGTGGGAATCGCAATTAATGACTACTCTCTGATTCCTGAGTTTTGTAATTTTGTTTACCCGCACGCCAAGGTCCACAGGGTCGATATCTTTTCTAACCTGTTTCATAATTTCATCGCTCGTCGATCGTGGGTCAATGGACTCAAGAATCATAGTATATCGGGGTGTACCAGTAACTTCTGCATATGTCAACTTGTGTGGAAGAGGCTTGTTTATCATTGTTTGTGACGATGTTGTATTAACATCATTCGTTTTTTCAGTTTTACTGTGTATCTCATCATAGTCTCTCCTTAGCTCATCTACTTTTTCTTTAATATCAGCTATGGCAAGTTCAGCGCCCAGTCCTAAGTTTCCTTGGATTACTGTTTGGGCAGTGTTACTTTCCTTGAGTTCATTGATTTCTAACAATAGTTTTTGGATCATGTGAACAATAGGCCGCATCACTGTCTCATTAACCTCTCGTGTGGCATAACTTATTTGTTTTGAGGGTGGTGGTGTTTGTTGTAGTGTTAATAGGATATCTTTGGTTTCTTGTAGATTTTTCATAATTGCTCCGATACGGGGGTCTTCTTGCGATTTTTGTTCAGTCTGGGCAAGTGTTTGAGCTTTAGAGCATTTAGTCAATTCTTTAACTGACAAGCGTAAGCTCTTCAGCTGGTCAGCTATGTCTGTGACTTTTCCAGTCAGGATTGTGAAATTAACATTGCAGGACTCGTGGGGCGCAGTCGAGCAACTCATAAATTGTGATTGTGTCTGTGTTTTAGCTACTAGCTTCTTCACCTCTCCTTCAATTTTTATGATGGTCTTTAGTGGTTCTTCCATCTCAAAATTTAGCCAGCTACGTATTGCCTCAACAGCCTTTCCTGTGGTTGTAATGGCTTCGTATGTTGACTTTATCGTCTTGTGATGGGTTTCTTGTATTTCGGCAAGTTGTCTATTGTGTGCCCTTTCGATCCTTACTATTTATTTCGCTGCTCGGCTCTTTTCTTGCTCTAGAGCCAGACGGTGACGTGAGCGGGAATCAGAAAGTGACAGCACCGTTTCGTAAAGGCCTTGGAGAGAGTCATGTACCTCACTCTTGCATTCTAGCTTCATGTTGCCCGCTTTCTCAAGGGCTTCTTTTCCGGTAAGCAAGAAGTCGTTAGCTCGTTGAGTGGCAAGGTCCATGGAGACACCAGCACGCTTACAAGATGGAGGGAGTAAGCTGGATCTTCTGCTATTGGTGCTGACGATGCTATCGGCTTCGGAGTCGTAAGATGGCTGATTTTGAAAACAGATTATAGGCTGCTTTTACGCCGACTAATATCTCTCCTAATCAACTCCGTGAGGAGTTTTATGAATTCAAGGACGTTGTTTGCTCCATGCTCAATCTCCTTCGACAGCAAATTCAAGCCTGCACTAAGTCAATTGATGCTATTGATATGCAGCACCGACAGAATATTCTTCTATTTAATGGGATCTCTGACTCTCTAGAAGTTAATATTGTACAAGAAGTACTGGGTATCATACATAAGAAAATGGGTATCCCACATGTTACAAATGTGTCCTTACTACGTTGCCATCGAATTGGTGTTCAAAAGGATGGTCGTTCATGTCCGATTCCTGTACAATTTCAAGAGCATTACACAAGTCTGAGGTGTGGAAAGCTGAAACTAAGTTAAAGGGCTCTAAAATATTTTAATTAAAATGAGCCAATCTGTTCTTAAAAAAAGCACGCAAACATTTTGAAATGAAGAATGTGTGGACCTTAGATGGAGCAATTTTTATCAAACTTTCCAATAACGTAACGGGCAAAAATCTTCACTGAAGTGGAGATTGATCCTCTCACTAAAATGTTTCCTGTTAATTTTTCATCAGCAAGTCTTAGCATGGCTTCTAACAGCAGTATTACTAATAGCGTAAAGAAACCCGTTGTGTGGTGGTTCAGAAAGAGGATTTTAAAAGGTCCCGCCGTTTGATTGCTAAAAAATAGCTTGCTTAATTTAAATAGTATGGTATTCCTAGGTATCCTTTATTTTTGTATTCCCTTGTTTTATATTATTGATTTACATATATTTACTTAAGTGTTTATAGTCCCGCATCTTCATGGTTGTAATATCTGTAGAACAGAACAATATTGCCTCTACTGTAGTCATAAGTTGTTCACTTTTTATAGCAGTATAGTTGCAATTTTTTTTTAAAGTTGTTTTCTTTTAATAATATAGTCTGCATAGGAATTTTTATTTTTATAAATATAAACTTAATGAGATTTTATCTTGTAATACATAACTTGCTTGCGTTTAGTTTTCTTTTGTTTCTTAGTTGAGGTATCTTACTTAGTAGGTTTGATTATACTATGATTGATATATAACAATCGTAGACAGAGAAACCTATAGACAAATTGACGCCTTCTTTCGCATTCGCACACGAAAAAGATAGGTTTATGCATACGTCTTGCATAGAAATGAGACAAAGCGGTGTGATTGTTTGTCCCTTTCTCCGTGCCAGTTTTTTTGTTTAGTAAACTACACTTTGCTAAACAACTTTGACAGTTCGTAGCGATCTAAGGAGTTTACAAGTTGGTTTAAGTGAGAGTTAGTTTTGTGAGCTTAAGATTGGTGAATCTTGTTCAGTTCAGTTCTTAGAACAATTAAAATTTTTATCTAAATATGTTTAAAAGTTATAATAATAATAATAATAATACTTTATTTTCAGACTTTGTCCATAAAGATGTTAGTAGAACAATAACTACTTAAAACTAATGTTAGTATTTAACTTTTTTTTTATAAACTTAACAAATTAAATATCGCTCCTACGTTACAAATATCTTATTTATTCAATTTTATATGTAGGCTCAACCAGTGTTTCATAATGGCAGAATCCCACCTATCAGCAAGTGTATTCAGGATGCTGTTGGTAGAGGTACGTAGTCGATTCATTAATGAAGCGGACCTTTTACGTATTATGGCATGAAAGCCATCCGTGTGTGCCTCGACGAACATGGCAGAGGCACTACAATAACATGGCAATCCTCACAGCACCCTGAACGCATTATTGTATTGTACACGCAGGACATTGTATGTCCGCTGCGTGTATCTGACCCACAAGTTGCATGTGTAAAAGCACTGACAATAAGCTTTAAAAAGCGTAACTTTAACTTCTTTAGTACATCGTGCAAACCTGCGGGCCAGCATATTACAGCGAACAGCCAACGCCCTGCGTTCCCTTTCTATATCCAAGTCATCCTCTAAGTCCTCTGTTACCCAGTGGCCTAAGTACTTAAATTTGACGACACTGTTCAAAGGACTATCACAGAGCTTAACAGTAGGCATGGTGAGCTGCCTTTTAGTGCCTGAATTAAAAACCATGAGCTCGCTCTTCGTTACATTATACTTAAGCCCATGGGTCTTTGCGTAGGATTCACAGATCCCTAGCAGCTTTCTGAGTGCACTTATCGTGGGGCTCAGCAGCACCATGTCATCTGCATAGCTTATGTTATTTATGCAAACTCCGTCTATAGAACAACCGACCTTAGTGCTGCTGAGCTCCACAATCAACTTGTTTATGTATAAGTTGAAAAGCGTAGGTGAACTCAACCCTCCTTGTCTCACCCCGCATTCCAGCCCATACCCCTCAGAAAAGCTGCTACCCCATCGCACATAGTTTATTTGGTTACTATACCAATATTTAAATACGGAGACAATTTCCTGACGCAAGTCAGTCTCCTCCTGTAACTTTCGCCATAAAATGTCATAAGAGACTAGATCAAAAGCTTTTGATAGATCCAAAAAACAGGCATACACCGGCGTTATCCTATCTGTGTAGTACCGAACAGTCTGCTTAAGACATAAAATTGCACTCTCTGTGGATAGTCCAGGTCTGAACCCAAATTGAGCATCATGCAGATGAATGTGCTTTCTCAATTTCCTGTCAAGCAGACCGTCCAGCACCTTAGCCACTATGGTGGCTATTGAGATTGGCCTGTAATTATTTAAATCTGATATATCTCCTGTTCTGTTCTTTATGATAGGCACCACAATTGTCTTCATGAGATCAGTCGAAAGATACTGATGCGCTATACATAAACTTAGAAACATAGCCAACACTCTTGGCAGATGGGCACCAGCATGTACCAGATGTTCAATGCTAAGCCCGTCATGCCCTGGTGACTTACCTCTAGTCATAGAATTCATTACTTCAAAAACTTCTTTGGCAGAGATCCTTACACACGATCCACCTGCAAAACGTCCACCATCGATTAATCTCGATGACGGACCCCGCGGTGACTCTACTTTAAAATGCTCTTTAAATAGATTGGCTATGTCTTCAGGCTGGTTGTGATCCTGAATATTAGCGGGAAGGCTCGACTTGGGATTCAGTTTATTCTTAAATTTCCAGAATTCTTTAAATTTCTTTTGCGAATGACTTGATGCGATCTTATCCATTCTTAATTGCTCTTCGTGATTTTGACACAATTTTAACTTTGACTTGAAATTCCGTCTTGTTTCACACATTTTATTATAATAATAACCCGAAGATGGCTTACCGTATAAGATCCACGGTTGAAAAGCAAGTCGATCCTCCCCGTGGGCGTCTCTAACGTATTTATTCCACCCCACAACATGTTTCTTATTCCTTTTGTTATTACAACTGACCTGAGCTGATTCTCTAAGAATAGTAACAATATTACTGTACATGTTATCTAAAATTAATTTATGATTATCATTAATACATATATTATTACAACAATTCATAAACTCCTGTGGAAAATTTACCTCTTTTAATTTAGAGTGACACGCACGTACGCTGGGCAGTTAAATATTATATGTTCTGCAGTCTGATCTGCTTCTGTATCACAGAAGTTGCATGTTGCAGATGCTACTATTCTCATCTTAGAAAGATGAGCGTTCAGTCGATAGTGGCCAAATCTAAGTCTGCACATTATTGTATAAAATTTTCTGGTGCGAATTGGAACTATTCTGAATTAATTGATGCATACTAACGACATTTTCCTGCCTCTAAAACAGAATTCCATTGCATTTTCCATTCTTCTTTTATCTGTTGCTTTAAAATTGAATATAAATCTGTATGTGGTATTGCCACACCGGTTATCCTGTCAATATCAGCTGTGGCTATACTTTTAGCTTAATGATCTGCGCTTTCATTTCCTTGTACACCAGTATGTTACGGAGTCCACAAAAATTTTACTTCCAAATTATTTTCTTTCAATTTCTACCACAAACTTTTGATTTTATATATGATAAAAGACGTTTTAGCATTTAAAGTTATTGCCTTCAATGCCTTCAACACACTCATGCTATCAGAGATCTGTAACCATTTATTAGATACATGTGGGTGTTCTTATATATATTTAAGAGCGATATGAACAGCATAACATTCTGCAGTGTATATGCTAGCTGATGCAGAAATGGAAATACCACGTCCAGTTTCAGATGAGGTATGTAAAATGCACAGGCTACTTTATTTTCTACTTTTGAACCATCTGTGTAAATTTGTCGATATTCATCATATGTATTATTGTACAAGTTCATAAACCTCATTTTTTCTTTTCAATTTTTAATCAATATTTATGTGTATATCACTGAATTTACTTTCGTAATTCCCCCTTATAACAAGGCCAAGTATGTGTGCTTTTGTGAATATTATATTGTTCATTGTATCATATTCCTTCATGAAAGTCATGGAGTATATATGGGGCTGAGTTAGACATAGGAGACACACTATTATAATACACACTA